TTATACAGATGTCTGGCAAGCCTGGACTTTTCTCTAGCTCATTTGTTTAGGGCATGGAGACAGAAAACAGCTAAGCCTAACAAAGATTACACGAGTCACTGCCAAATCTTGTAAGAACTCCTCTCAGACCTTTTCACACCATACCTCTTTTCCATGTGCACCTGCACACAGATACTGCACGCTTACTCTTCTATCTGAAACTCAAAAGCTAACAGCACTGAAGGCAGACTACACATTTGTCTACCTTGTTGCAGTTGTTGCATTCCTCTGGAACTCCCAGGTTATTCTAAGATGTCAATCAAGAAGCACAACTACTTAGTGCTGATTATTGTATCAATAACTGCAACTAATTACCTGATAGGGAACAGCAAATATTAAGGAGTAAGTATGAAAAAAATCCTACAGTAACTCAAGTTGACAAGATTACAAGCAGTCAATTTGTAAAACATTAAAATAAAAACCAGCCCTCATACTTAATGGCCCCTACCTGTCAAAGAATGGGTAAGCCAGGCACATTATATAAAGCTTCAGCCAGGTAAAATGAAATAAGAGTCTATTCACCTGGTATAGTGCCTTGCATTAAACGTACTACCCCTTTCTGTAATTGCTTTTAAAACAAAATTCTTTTAAGCATTTGTGCAAGAAGGATATGGTTAGATGACAGCATTGTCAAGAATCATCTACAGTATTTCAAGATCTTGAAATTTTTGTGTTTTTAAACTTTAAGAAAGCAGTTACTTCTCAAATTTTAATCTTACCTTTCAAGTGTTTAAACAAAAAGTTCTAATGTCTGTTAAAGTCTATTCTAGCTGACAAGTAAGCTAACACACAATAAAAAAAGCTCTTATCCTTAGTCTACCATTTAACCTTTAGTGCCTTCAGGTAACACTGCTGTATTAACATAACCCCAACCTAAGTACAGAGAAGACACATTTACTTTATTTCCAGAACACCATCACCCTCTCCTTCCTCCAGACATGTTAATATTTTCGCAGCTAGGATCTATGGATCCTAATACATTTAGTTACTTGAAAGACAACCGAATAGTCCAATTTTCAAAAATTTTTGCAGTACTTCTGTATTTCACCCTTTCCAAATACAAAACACATCTATACAACATTTACAGAAAATTAGCAGCAGTACCATAAATTAACATTTTTATTACAACTGGCATTGCATAAACTCCCTGCACTCATTAAGTTCCACTTAGAAATCAAGGCACCAAATGTCAAAAAATTATCCCGAAAGTGGGAAGAGGTGGTACCAGATTCCCTGACAAAATTCATGTAGGTTGCATACTTCTCTATATATAGTCTGGCAAGTGCTTATTATATCTTTCTTCTATTTCATTCAAGACACTTGACACTTCACAGGTCTCAAAGTAGCACAGTAAAACACTGGACGCTGTTCTCTTGCAGCTTAAACAGCTGAAATCCAATGCAATGTTCTACACCCAGTAGCGCCAATTTCAAATTAATCAGAGGACAGTGTAAGACTCCTGATGAACTTTTCCTATACCACTCCGAGGAGCAAATATACTTTTATCTGTTCCTCCCCCAAAACACTCAGCCAAAAGCCATTTTAGATCACTAGTCCTCATATTTCAAGTATATGTTTCATTTTTACTTGTTACTGCAAATGCCATTCCCAGTAGTACTTGCTTTAATTTTACTGAATGATTATGTTTAGCAATGAACAAATATAATTACCACCAATCAGGCATTCGTATCTTTCAACTTAAAGTTCTCTGATCTGTTTTGTTGTACAACACTGGAATTAAACACGCCTTAAGAACTATGGGTCAATCCAGTGTGAGTATTACTGGTTATGACTTCAGAAATTCATCTCCCGGGTAAGAAGGTACTCCAAGAGAAGTGGCAAGCCCTCTCTCCAAACAAGGACAACCACAGAGGCTACAACATCTGATCGACCTTCCTCTCAGTCTTGCTCTCAAATCTGCATCCAGTGTTTACTTTTATCCTCAGCATTTAAGTGCATCATAAGATTGCATTAAGTGAGAGGAGGGATACAGCAGCTCATCACTTGCACCAATTCTTACTCAAGAAGTTGAATCAGGCTCCAGTAAGTGGACAATGACAATCCAGAGACATAAAAAAGCATGACAAAAAGCTCCTGTCAGCTGCCACAGCTGCTCTTAGCTGTGACACTCGAAGACGAGTTGCAAGCATATGCTAATTGGATAGCATGTCTGGTTCAACTCAAGCTCGTGTGCTGCCTTGAACCAGACATGAGTTGTCTCTCTCGACTGTTTCCCATTTGACATGAAAGCAACTACCCAACTAGCAATTCACACTTCCAGGTTCAGAGGAGCTAGATGTTTGTAGGTTCATGAGTCTTGTTTGCAATAAGATTTATTATATTGAGGTTAATATTTAATCTACTTAACAGTATTTAAGAAACACTTAAAAATGTGAAAAGTATAGTAGTCAAATATCTTTCATTAGCTTGTATGAAGTAATGAGGCCACTTAATATGTATGAAATGACAGAGCAATTGTAAGAAATTTATACCTCTTCCCAGCATATTCGTTTATATTAGATACTATGCTAACTATGGAGCTTCTCAGTCATTGATATCTGACTCTCATCACACATCAGCACTGCCCAAAAATAGAATTAACTTACAAGAGGCTGTATACACTCCAAAAAATGAACGAGTTCGCTGTGTGTCTTCACCCCCTATTATACTCTTCCTTATTTTTAACTCCCAGATTCACAACTCTATTCTTAACATACAAAACTAAACAGCTTTAAGTGTACAGCAATACACGATTTCCCTGCTTTGAATTCAGAACACGGAAGAAGGTCAAGATAAAGTATTTATCTTGAACAGAAGGAACATTTACTGTGACAAACTACTGAATATAAAAATCAACGCCTCACATAAAATAAAGGAGATAGGATTACATATCATTAAATTAGCTGACCAAAATCTTTGCAGAATGAAGCAAGTGGTGTGGAAGCCCAAAATCATGAAAGGCAATAATTCTGTAAATATGAAGACAGAATCCTTCCACTAATACCAAGGAAAATCCTAAAATAAAAAAATGATAAAGCAGCTTCTCACTAATGCTACACTGAACATACAATAGCAGCAAATGCAGCAGCAATTAAATTGTAGTTCCTTTGTATACTACACAAGCTGCAGAAGTACTCGGAATTCTACTTTAAAATTTTCCAACAGTCAACATATAATTTGTGTAATCATCCTGCATTCATATATGTGAGCAAATGAAAAATACTATCAGATTGTGCAACAAAGAAACAATTCAAAGTGTGTACTCCTGGTTGCTAAAGCTCTCTATTGCTTCCAGTGCTCCCAAAGGACTGTGGCTAGAGTGACACCTGCAATGCATTATAAATGTGTAATTACCATTTAAATGGAGTAAGGAAAGCTGGTGGATGAAATGGGAAAAGGCATTCCCTTAAAGCCAACCAAATACTGAAATTTCAGGCATGATCATCTTAATCTACAGAGTCAGGTTAACAAAGTCATTGTCATTCTGCCACTCATCCACGCCTACTTAACTGAGAATCTTCTCTGCAGTACGTAAGAGTGTAGGATAATCTAGTGTCTCCATAATTATTTGCAGCAATTTTTATTAGATTGTTTAATATGCTAACAAATGTCTTTATTAGACAGTGAAAAATGAAGACAGACGATCCAAGGCTATAGTAAGACTTACTCCATTATGACTCACTGAACTACACTGACAACCATTTGTCTCTGTTATCAGGATATAAACTATAGATATCAGCAATAATATTTAGGAATTTCAGAATTTATACATATTTTATCTTTCATATTTCCTCAGTTACATGCATCCATTCAGTACGTGCCAAATAGTCATGCAAGATACAGATTTTTCTTTAGGATAAAAATGAATTATGAGAATCCAAGCCTCAAACTGATATATCTGATAACATAAATTAATCTTTGAATAGGCAATAAAGCAAACCTGTCAATAAATTTTATATAGAAGTTTACTATTGAAATCTAAGTTTTATAGTTGAGTTACAATCTTTTGCAGGTAAACTGCATTGCAAAACATAACTGCATGAAGACATGAATATGCCATGCCTGACTCCTTGTAAGAAGGTACACCTTCCATTAACACAATCAATGTATGAACTTGTCTCTCTAATTAAGTAACTGATAGACTAATATGCTTCAAGTGGAGACAAAAGGACACTAGCTCTCATATGACTGTGTGCATACTATAGCTACAGGCAAGATCTGTTGAATTTGGTATATGTATGGGGCACAGAATTATACAATCACATTCCTCAGGAAACTCAAGTATTCCAGCAATATCCAACAAAGCATTCTGCAAAGGTCTGAAAGTTAAGCACTGAAGAGAGAAGTGTCTTCACTAAAATGTAGGACCAACCAGAGACAAGTGAACTGGTTTCACAAGCAGAATATAACTGAACGCAGCCTTCTGAAACATCACTTAACCTCAGTGCAGTGCTTTGATACACTAACAGCTATACTGAATTCAGGACAGTGTTCACTTCTCTTAGCTGCACTGCCTCAAGGAGATGCAAAGTTATATGCGTATCTGTATAGAGTGCTGCCTGTTACTTTGGAGACATAGACACTATCTTAAGTTCTTCACCAGATCTATCCCAATGATTCAGACTTGTTGATGTTGACTCCAGGGTCTACAGAGAAATAAACACAGAAAGTGTGTGGTGTTTTATGCTGTTGTTTGTATTTTGTTTATTTTAAGTCTGGACTATTGTTGTCAACCACTTAAAGAAACTTTTTGAAACTGAATTGTAGTTGGGATACAGGGTCACTTATCCTACAAAATACCACAGGACTGAAGTTCATGACTGATGTTTAACAAAAATTACTGCTAGTTTCTACAACATTCTTCCTCCTGCAGCTCAAGCTTCACACTGAAGTTTTCCTCCGTTCCAGCAAAGAAGCATACTTTTGCAAATGTTCCCCAGGCACAGAATTCCCTATAGAGATTATCCGTATCGCTTCTGCATCAGCCAAAGGGCACACTGCAGATTCATGAAGGCACTCCCAGACTCTGCCAATCAGTTTAACAAGAGGATGAAAATTAACAGTTTTGAGTCACTGTTCAGACGCCTAGAATCACCTTCTCTGACATTAGTGTAATTTGCATAATAAAAAGTGCAGCATAGTTTTAGCATATCTGCCTCTGAATACACAGAACAAATTTGCTATGAACAAATCAAATTAAAAGTGCAAGCTCTGACAAGCCTAGATAATAAGAGCCTCCTTTACAACACAGCAGGTCCTACAGTCTTGCGATATGCTTCTCCCACTGGATCACAGCTCCACTTAAACACAACAAAAAAATCCAGCAATTTTAATCCCTATTTTAGGCTGCATCCTCCATCCTTCTTTTTTAAGCTTGATTTAAAAATCTTGCTATCTGCTAGTCAGTCTATCCTCCCCTTCAATAACCAAGGGTCTACTAGCCAATTTCAACTAGATTGGTTCATCAAGTTCAAGAACAAACAAACAAAAAAACAAACCCACAAATCAGTGGTCTTACTTAGGAAGAGGCAGAAAGAACTACTTATTTTAATCAATATATTTAAGCGCCCACCCCAAGCAAACACCCCATCCAGCACACTGTCCCTTGCTGACTGCAGGAACAGAACAGGAGCATAACAGTGATGAGATCAGGTGTTCAGGTGACAGAAGACATGCATCAGTAGGAAACTGGGCCTGATTACTTCTGCTGCTCATAAAGCAGATTTTCCTAATTATTATTAAAATTCACAGCAGGAACAAAGGAATCAACTGATACTGAGTATCAAAACAAGATTACCACCTACCATACTTCTTACGTATTTCATCATGCTTCAGTTTTCTTTCATGTTTCCTGCAACAAATAAAGGCGTCAGAATAACATTCAGGCTGTTTTGAGCTCTAAGCAAAATATAATTACATCTGAAAGAAATTACAGCATTTTTTAAATTAGTATGCAATTACAAATTAAAAAAAATACATTTATCAGTTATATTTTACCTTTCTATATACACTTTATGTATTTATAAGATTCCTTATAACTTCTCAATAATCAATAATGTCAAAAGAAGATATATTTCCAAGTACAAAGAAAAATATTGTGTTTTCTATATAGAAGTAAGGTATCCCATATAGATACACACACTGAGATATTCATCTATGCATAAGAAGCAAGCTGCAATATTGGAAGATTCCCTAATGCTTTCCAGCAGAGAGCTTAACTGTAAAATTTAGCTGTGAATACAGTGTGCTTCAGAATCCTAATTCAATATCATAATTCTAAAAAGATAAAAGGTGTATTACCGTTTTGCTTAAACAGTACAGCAAGGAAAAGTGAAAACTACTTGTTTCTAAAATCCAGGATGGCATCCAGGCAGAAAACAAATTAAAATATTGTGCTATATAAAAACTGGATGCCTCTATGTTGTCTAATCACAAGACAGTTTTCAAGACTGCATCTAATATTGCCAAACTTCCAAATTATTCACATGAACCAAGTATCTGACAAGTCAATTTCTTATTCCCCTTCCTCCCCTCCCCCTTGCAAAGGTGCAGGGGGAAAAATGAAGGAAGTTTAAATGGAAATCGTTCCATCATTCCTCAGATCATTTTCCTGTATTTCAAAGGGAACATCTATTTTGCTTAGTTTAAAAACAAACAAAAAAGCTCCTACACAACTGTTTCACCAGGATGATCCAGGTTCTATACATTTTGAGGAAAGGACATAGAATTTGGCAAAACAACGTTCCCCTAACAAAAAAAATAATACGCTGTTTGTTGCCCCTCTCAAAATTCAACCCAGTTACACAAGTTGTGACTTTCGGCTGATTCTAATTTGCACATATTCAGCAGAAAGCTGTTAAGGACTGACAGCTCAATTCACCAAAGATCCCATCTGCCCTATGCATATTCCACCTCCAGACAACTCCCACTGCTAATCAGATCCTGTGTGTCCTCAGAAGCAATTATCCTGCTTCCCACAGAGCTGAAGGGCTGAACTGGCCTTTTCCTGCAACTGCACTTCTGGAAAGCACGCAGACAAAGCATGGTGAGAAAACCTAAAGAGAAAGACTGACTCAAAACCTTCCACTATTACTTCCCTGACATGGGTATCTCCCTTCTATCCCTTTCTACTATTCAGCCCGGGCAGCACAGCAAACAAAGCAACCTGGCCAAACTGCAGGAGGGGGAGGAACTGGGGAATCAGGGCGATTAAGTGAATTTCATGTAGAGGAGGAAAGCCAGGACTGAGAGGTTGAAGAGCACAAGAAGCAGAGTCAAATTTACCTACTGAGGGTAACCTGACCACAGGATTCTTGCTTTCTGTGTTGCGTAAGAGGAAGACATTATACGAGGCAAGGGATCTCAGGAAGAGAACAGATTCTGCTTAAAGCAGCCTGCTCCTGTATAAAGCCAGTCCTTACTTCTGTATAGTTTCTGTGATGCATTGTGACCTCAAATCACGTTTTGTTCACTGGTAGTACTAGTGGCATGTTCTTTACTGTTTTGCATACCCTGTCTGAAATAACACAGACTCACTGCTGCAGTTTCAGCTGAAGCCTTCGTACTTCAGCAGTCAGTCTGAATCTGCCCTGAACACAGAAAACACTAAGTAGCTGCATAAGAAGGGTAAAGGGGTGGGGAAGAAAAAAAAAAAAATAAAAAAAAATATCAGTGTGTAGGCCTTAAAACCTCAGAAACACTTTAGAATACCTCCCTAGGCTATTCAAAATGAAACCCACCAAACACCTAAAATTCTTACATTGCTTAAATTTGAAGGGTAAAACCTCTCATTTTTGTGAAACTTTCAAGCTTTGACAGGCGGCCACAATTATATCATGGCTAAATCCCTGTACAGTAAATAAGTCTTAGGCATACAGCAACTGAGATGAACCAGATGCAGTTCTGAACAGGCAGTCACTGCATCAGCCACCCAGAGCCACTTTACTGCACTGTTCACGTCTTACATTATGACCAACTGAACTCACTTTACAGTCTTTCGAGTCGGTTCTGTTTCTTAATACTGCTGCTATTACTCCATCTTCTATATGCTAAATTCTTGGATCTTCATGCAAGTTGTCCCCGCTGCTGTAAGCCAAGAAAGTATTTTCCCTAATACTAACAATTCACAAAAAGATTTTCCATACTTGGCTCTTCACAAGTGAACTGCAGTCCTTTCTTTCTCTGACCCCCCCACCTTGTTCTCCCTTACCATTACACTACCAAATTGTACTTGGCAGCTTATCTCACGAAGATCCCATTGCTTTTCATTTGATTATCAACTTCTAACATATACATCATGGTTTATAAATTACTTAAATCTAACATATAAATGTACCATATATTTACAGCTGTAATTAAACGAGTGTACTGAAAAAGACTTATTACTTGATGCCAGGTTTAAAAATTATTTTTCATGTTAGAGATGACATGAAATCAAAAGGACTAAAGCTATGCAGTAAGATACCTGTTTTCTTTCAGTGGTTTTTTTTTCAGTCAAAATTTGAACTCCAGATTTCCTTCCCGTCCTGCCCCTCACTAAGTGCAAACTCTACACTTCATCTGTGATTTTCAACCTTCTCGGTGAAGTGACAGCTAGTTTCTTCCTTTTGAAGACAAGCAGAAGGCCAATGTCATTACCCTTGATCTTCATTCTAACAGCCATTCAAGTATTACAAAAAGACACTTCCTAGGTATCCATAATAAACTGAACGTTTACACAAATTTTAAACTCACAAAGCAGACATTTACTGGGTGCCCAAAAATCCAAAACATGGTAGGTGCTGCAGTTATCTTGAAGCTTGAATTAACCACACACTATACAACTTGGGCCACCTCACATTGTTTTTACCATTCACTAATGGAACGAGGAAATGAAGCTCAGACTAGTCCTTTTCTGCTTCCATTACCAACGGATCTGAACAGCTGTACACAAAGTAGCTGTATCCCACAGAAGAAAAAAAAACAACACAAAAAATCCCAGACAGACAAAAGGTCAAGGCTGTGCCTATTATCCTCCCACACTGTTTATCTGAATATCTACCGAGCCATCTTCAGAAGCTACGCAAAAACTTCATAGGTTGTAGAAAGGAAAGACCACACAATCCAATACAGTGTTTTCCCCTTCAGTTTGCTGGTCAAAAATGGCTTCTTGAGACAATTAATCTGTTCTACAGGCTGCTACTAGCAATTCATCCTCCTAAGGACTTACAGAAAGCAAGCGGTGGGTAAGGTGAGGTGTTCCGGTTGCTGGAAGTGGCCTGCTCCTCGCGTTTTCCCACGACCCTACCAGTCCTTCCCCAGCCACACACACAATTGTTATGCATGCTCAGAACACGGGAAATACCCCAGGGCTGCTCTCTCCTGCAATGAGAGCAGTTACTCTCTTTCACAGACACACTCCCAAGACAAGCTTGGAAAGAGGGCTGCTGCTCTAAGGCTGCTCTGGCAGAGCAGTCTGCTCCTACGGATCCTTGTTCCTAGCCTTAATTCAGAAATAGAGTTGGACTTAGCTCTGCATTACCAATTGCCTGGTGCAACACCACTTCCTCTGTGTGTGCACAGCAAACCTTACACTCCAGAAGTACCAGACTTCCTACAGATTAACTGTACCAAGAATTTAAAGTCAATACACAAATCATAGGGGAAAGGTTATGCTACACAATCATCCCCTATGCTCCTGATCATGAGCCTTTGCTTTGTAATAAACACAGGTAAATGTTGATTTAACTGAGCAGCATAGCACAATATTAAGGATGTACATTTCACCACAACAAGGCACACGGTTTTGAAATACAACAAAATGTTGATGTTCCTCACAGCATCCCTTTTTCTTTAGAAGAGAACAAAAGTAATACAGGAGAAACATCACCTTCACACTAGCATTCTACCTATTGTGCCATGACTAGTTAAAAGTGGATTAGCAGGTGGAAAATTTCCCTTTTTTCTGACCCATTGCAAGTCTTGAACATCACTTATCTGACAGACTGTGTGGTATGACTATGCATGAGCATACTTCCTAAACTGGCCACCTATTCCTTACCCTTCTGTGCACATTCAAGTATGACACTTTCAGCTCACAAATTAAGATGTTTAGGAAAACAAATTTGCATCCATTCTCTTCTTGGATAAAGTTTGACACTACCCTGCAATGGTGAAAGAGGAAGTACTGCTTTCTACTCTGTCCTCAAATAAATGCTTTCTTTGCTTGTCTCCCATCCCTGGATTCACACTGTTCTTGTATCCTGTGGATCCCAAGAATCTTATGGATACATGCTTAGACTGTTCACTGATCCCACCCAACAGAATGAAAAACGACAAAAACCCGACAGAAATGTGGATAGCTTTCTGCAAAACAAATCTGGCATAGCACAGAGCTAAGGAACGTTGTGCCTTGGCCATGAAAGAAAAGTAAGAGTGCTCTTTCCATCAGCAGCTTGCAGTTACATCAGAAGTAGAATCTTTAGATTACACATAATCTAAAAGGTTAAATTAGTGGCACCATTACACTTAAAAATACACGTTTTCAAACCAGTAATTCTAGCTCGACTACGCTAGGAGACATCTAAATTCTCACCTTCCCTCTGCAGAAAGTTACTTTAAAGCTTATGCCTAAACAAGTGCACAATACACATTACTGCAACAGTAAGTCTGTGCTGTAAAAATAAAATTTGTGCAGAACAAAGACAATTTGGTAAGTTTAAGTTTTGTTGTTTAAAAGCTACTAAACTGTATTACACAGCTAGTAGAAAACTGAAATAGGTACATATATTAAACTGCTAGTATGCAACAGCTCTAAAAAAATTTAAGTCATAGAAGCAAAACTAACCATTCAAGCTTCACACTAAGTCCAGCTCTGCAAAATTCTTTCTTGTTAAACGTCTCCATTGCATCCTATTCTAATTGCTTCTATTGCCAACAAGTTTAGGAATTTTGTACAAGACTAAAGGACACATCAATTTAACCCATTACTGCAGAATCTATTTGGCTTCCTAATACCACAACACCTACTTCAGAGCCACAACCATTGTCAGATTCAGAGCAAACAGTTGCTGTATTTGCTTATATAACCTGGCAGTTAAGAACCAGAAAACAGATCTGCATGGAGCTGAGAGATTCTCACAGGTCCTGCCAGCCAGAGACATGAGCAACCTTAGGTACCTCTGTAAGACAACCTTCTTGGCTCCCACTTTTGTGCCCAGTCAGAAACGTAACATGTTTGAGCAAACCAAGCATGTGTGCTTACCTGCCTTGTCTTCTTATGTGCCTAACAGAGAAACTCAATGTCTTCATGCAAAAGCTCATATTAACAATGAATCTGAGATCAGGAGAGAACAGCAGGTGTCAGCAAAGCAGTGAAGATGCCCATCTGTTACTTGGCAGCTGAGTATTTGGGGAACCTAACCCAAAAGTAGCAAAACTAGGATCAATTTCCTTGTCAGTCTGTGAGGATTCAAATCCACACCTGACAGCCCCAAGCCTAGCATTAGTTTGGTTAGCACTCTCCTCTTCTCTTGCTGAAGCTAATCCACTGTGACTCTTCAAAATAAAGACCGTGAAAGGAAGTATGATTCAAAAGGTACATTGGGCTTGTACTAGGTATCACAGTCCTACCTATAAGAATTGTTTATCTAAAGAATAATGTAAAAAACATGAAGAAATAAGCTATAAAAACCTACATCTGAAAGAATGCTGCTCTCACTGAGAAGCACTGTATCACTGCTAACTCTTGCACTTCTTTCTACACCGCTCTACAGCTTTAACAGAAAGAATGGAAATGTGGAATTAAGTCTAACATGAGATCTGAGCCAGTTTTCCATTTCCTGAGCAAAATTTCTAACAGGTATCTCACTATCAATTTCTCTACCTTACCCAGCCAGATTTTAAAGGAAAAAGGACCAGTTACCAAATGAAGCTGAAAAGTGGTTTTTGCCTCTGAATCGTAGCCTCACTTGGGCTTTAACTCATGCCACAGACAAGCACCTGTCCAGGATAGACTAGGCAAGACTTCAGACACATCCCTCCTGTTTGCTCTTGGCTGGCACAGTGCACTTGTACCTGCCACACTGAGCAACAATCCATTGACTCCATGTTTACTTACAGAAATACAGGTCCTAATCAGGTTTGCAAACCTCACAATACGCCCCTTTTTGTAAAAACCTGACATTGTCACACGTAACTCATAATGCCTCTTTGTTTAGTACTCAGTGTATTCCTTAGAAGGGCAGAATACTCCTGTATCATCAGGAAGTGTATAGCTATATACCAGGCTGTCAAGACTTACCTCTGAAGAGACTGTAGTCTTCGTTCCTCTCTCTTTCTAGCTAGCTGTTCTTCTTCTTCATCTGGTCTGCTAGAAAAATAAGGAAGGAAGCAAAGCATAAGAGGAGGGAAAAAAGCAATTTCAGTACTAGGCAATCACTGTTTAGTCTCATTTGACTTATTTTCAAAAAGGATTTCTAGTCTGACCCAAGATACTTCTTCACAGTCATGTAAAATTTAATTGCTGAGTAAGTATAATTGACAAATTTGCAGAATTACCCTTTCATTTTTTGTAATACCCAAATCCTTCCCCCACTGTAGCAATGTGCCCTTCAAACTCCACAGGAGAATTTAAAGTCTCTCACGAACAGCTTGCAGACTGCTCCAAAAGCAGGTCTCTTACTTGCCTTTTTCCCCAGGTGTCACACCCCATTTTAGAGTAAGCATACTGCACATGCACAGTTAAGTCCATTGTTATCCCTGGAAAGAAGATTGATGGTTCATAAGCCTTTGATGCCAGAACAATTTATCTTTCCAACAACCATCACTATCTAATCTCAAGTTGCCTCCAGGAAAGCAGTCTGCATGAACTGTCTTGGCAGCTACCTTCCCTGTTCTGGAACGAGCAAGGATTTACCCGAGTGCATCAGCTGTGTGATTCCGGGAAATGCTGAGCCTACACAGCACATCTGAGCTGTGCATGTGTAGACACGCTCTACTGAATGCATGCACTTAAGCTTTGTGACCTGTCTTGGAGAAAGCTCAGCTTCTCTTAACCATCAGACAGACCACATTATAACTGCAGAACTCTAAAGCAAATGCCAATGAATATTTATCTGTCTCTTATTTTTTCCTGACAGAATCAATAACACTTCTTCAGGATTAGGGAATGGACACCTGCCATGCTTTTCCAGGTGCTAATCGTTTTTCAGAACTGAATGCACTATCTGAATATGTTTGATATTAATATTTACAATATTAACACACCTGCTAATAGAGAAATGGATAGTTACAGTACCACACATCTGCAGCAACCAACATACAGGTTAGGCAAGACTGACATCCAGTGGTTAATTACAGCATGTCAAATGTTTTAACAGATACAAAATTCAGAGACATTAGAACTGGAAATCTGACTCAATTTTTCTATCTGTTCAATCAGACCATACATGTCTTTGCACGTCTTGGTCATCGGGTCCAGAGGAGGGCCACAAAGATGATCAAAGGGCTGGAGTACCTCTCCTACGACGACAGGCTGAGGGAGTTGGGGCTGTTCAGCCTGGAGAAGAGAAGGCTCTGGGGTGACCTTATAGCAGCCTTCCAGTACCTGAAGAGGGCCTACAGGAACGATGGAGAGGGACATTTCACAAGGGTGTGTAGTGATAGGATAAGGGAGAATGGCTGTAAACTAAAAGAGGGCAGATTTAGATTAGGTATTAGGAAAAAATTCTTCACTGTGAGGGTGGTGAGGCACTGGAACAGGCTGACCAGAGAAGCTGTGGCTGCCCCCTCCCTGGAAGTGTTCCAGGCCAGGTTGGATGGAGCTCTGAGCAACCTGGTCTAGTGGAAGATGTCCCTGCTCATGGCAGGGGGGTTGGAACCAGATGATCTTTAAGGTCACTTCCAACCCTCACCATTCTATGATTTAAATACAAACCAGTAATTCAGAATCCATGTAATGTTTCACATATAAATTTTCTAGCTCCTCCTTTTTTGTTTCCACATAAAAAGTTAGAAAAATTTTGGGGGAGTTTAGTAGCAGGAAACACGTGCAACAGGTCACCTTTATTACGAAGCTATGTTAGACACTTCTGTAAAACTAACGAATTCCCCAAGAAGACCAGAAGCTCCCATTCCTGAGACTCTTTCTGCAAAACTATTTTACTGGAGACCCCAGTGTCTTGTAACTATGCAACAATGTCACTTCACACTGGTGTTGCAAAAATGCAAACCCACCAAAACAAGAAAATGCTGGTATAGGATTCATAAAATATATTTCTTCCCTATAATTAAAAGGAGCATTAAATATCTTCTGATTTCTAGACACTTATAAGTAATTGAGTTTTTCTTCAAAATTCAGAAAGTCTGAAATTATAAAAATTTAAAAAAAGTGGTTATTAAACCGAAGAAGCTCAACAGAGTCTATTTAGTATAGTTTCACGAATAGTTACATCTCAAGTATATGGAACCAGACTCAAAGCCCAAGCAGAGGATAAAAACAATGAACTGAAACAATGCATCAATAGGATTCCTGTGGTAGGGATAGCCTCACACGAGCCACTGATGGGGGGGTTAATGCACCTAAGTATTCTCTGTGTTCAAGGAAGATAAGTCCTGGCTGCTTAAACACTGAAACCCCACAGCTTAAAAATTCCCAGAAGGAATACTGATGCTTCTGCAAAACAAGGCTACGCCTGAGATCTGAGACAATACATCTAAGAAGCCAGGAAAACAGATCTAATACCACATTTTTAAAAATTTCCTTCTTCCAATTCATTAAAAAAAGAAGTTTGTTTTGTAGAAAAGGAGTCCCCAAAGTGAGAAAGCAGACAGCAAAAGAATTTCTGCCGAGAATCAGTGGATTTAAAGCCAGTAATATAACAGGGTTCAGTGTAATAATACATTCTGAATCCTCCTGAAACAAGCTGGACCCCACTCTCACAAGACCTTTATATCCCGAGTGTCAGAAGATTAAGCTTGACACCTTTGGAGTTCTGGCATAAGATGACTCTCATATAACCCTCTGTTTTTAGAATTAGATGTTACAGTACTGATTGACGACTTAGCTGCTAAAACTGAAGTCTGGTACAAATCTCTCTTTTCACAGGAATCAAGCTTTATTTGTTGGCATGTCAGCCACAGGAGCCTACTCAGTTCTTCAGCAGAGGAAGCTGGCAGATCTTACACAAAAATCAAAAACAGTTCTATACATCTTCAGGGCTTATCAGCACAGGGCTAAAGAGTTATCAAATTTTGCACTAGGACAGATTTGGTAGGTCAGTCTACCAGCAGAACAGGTGCATTCATCTTCCTTGGAGAAGAGAAAAGGGAATGACATGTTATTTACAATTATCTCCTTTTCTGAAAGCCACAAATGTACCGTATTTCTCTGGCCTGAAGGTCAGCACTAAACACCGTACAGCTGCATAAATTCTTAAAAAAACAAACAACCCTCAAACAAGAACAATGAATTATAGGTACGTGAAATAGTATAGAAATTGTTTTCTATCAAGAAATAAGGTCCACATTTAGTTCACGCAAGAAATACTGAAGGACAAAAGAAACAGAGCTAGCTGAAACTACATTGCACAGAAACCTGAGCGCTAAAGCTTCAGTGATGCAAGGAAGTATATTGTGCTGTCCCACTAAACAAGGCTTTCCAGGTGTTTCATCAGGGAATAAGCACTGATCACTTCACATGGCAGCACTGACTTACCTATTTTAGCTGCTTATTAATTATTTCCCTCCCTTTGAAGGATATTATCCAATCAAAAAAGTAAGCCAGTAGAAAGAAAAAAAAAGTTCTACAAATCCTCCAAGAGCTAAAGAACACTTAATGTTTGCAGTATTACTTCACTTGAAAATGTCAGTCACTCTTAGTTTCTCAGAGCAAAAAGTATCATCTTACGCTTAGAATATCTTGTTGAATTATCAAAGACAGCTAATCACTTAGATACCGACTGTCTGATGACAGATGCTAGAGCAAACTCTGGAGTATGGATAACAACTGCCATAGGACATTGTTTGCTGTACCAGGAGCTTGCCTTGAAAGAAATTATTTGTTCTGTTATCACAACAAGTAAGTATGTACTCCGCCACTGAAATATTTCCCATCCAATCTTAATAAGGAAGTGTAAAATGTAGAAATGTAAAGCAATAGCTTAAAGAACGTATCTGTGATGCTACCACTAGTAACATCACTTCAGTGTCATTCCAGCATCATTTCTAGTGTCATTCTGCCTGCCACTAAACACCTCTTTTTTTGGTTGTCTCTCAAACAAATAACACAAAGTGACCAAAACTGCTTCCAAATGAAAAGCTTCTTAGTATATAGGAGAGTAAAGATTGTAGGTAGATAGGTAAGACCAGCACCCAAAGTTAGTAAAGGAAACAAATATATGTATTTACCTCCTGGAATGCCTTCTGCAGTAACAGCAGTAACAGCAACAGACTGCTATGGATAGCAGAATGAGTCCAACTACTACAGCTATAGCAATAATTAAAGCTTCGAAGTTCACTGAAAAACAGGAATATATTCAAGTTGTTAGACTCCAGCACTAACATTTGTCTTTCTGTTAATTCTTCCCCTCCTTAACAAGCATTTTTTCACCTCTGTATTAAAAAAAATCATAAACAAATCAAACACAATTCTGTGCAACCACCCCAATTAAAACTCAGCATATCATATTAGCATTTTGCTACTATGCATAATCTACACTGAACAGGCATTAAATAAAGTTGCTCTTTACATATATGAAATTATTAAAAGTTATCCTATAATACTTTATATGATATATATCTACTGGTAGGATTCCACAGTTGTCCTCCCAATCACAATCTTGGCCAATGTATAGCACAAGTCATACAGATGCAGGATCGGCATACACATATCACAAGCAGCAGTTAGAGAAAGAGCACAATTAAATAAGACATCAGAGATTTGAAGAAGCCAATGTAAAACTCTCCATAAAACTATCTAAGTCATCTTCTATGTCCAAAGAGAGTCACCTTCTACGCCCAAAGAGCGATTAACAAATCGAGGGGAATTCTTTTAACTGCATACACTATAACAACTGTAGCTGTTCTAAACCAGAATAGGCTTGCATTCATACAGAAAGAATCAGAAACCTGATGTCCTGAAAATAAGCAGGGCCCAAGAAGAAAGCAAACAGGGAAGATAGAAGCAAAGCTATAAACACAACCCCAAGGAGTTAATTAAACGACCTAATTAAGGACAAAATGAAATCATTTAGGGAAGTTACAACAACAGAGATGATAAAAACTTAACTCCTCTCCCCACACATACCCCACACTGTCTATTTTAAAACAAGATGGGGGGAGCGGGCAGGGAAGCTGTCTCTTCTCCTTTCTCCCACATAAATGCCCCTGAACTCAGCCAGATTCAGCAGCTTCATGCTGTGGCAGTAATACAAAGTAGCTGCATGTACACTTCTTGCTGCTTCCAGATACTAGTGCTAAGACAGCCAAATTTAGCAAGAGAAGCTCAGAGGGGCTACGCTCTCTGATCACACGGACAAGCCAAAGAGTCCGTTACTTTGCTACAGATCTCACCCAACTCACATCTGGCCAAGCCATATCCTTCAGTAATCTTGCCAAAGATTAGATCCCAGCAAATATTTTTGCTTAGGTGTTATAATGTATTGGGTACAGTTTATAGTACAGATTAATACATAGCTTCTAGTTACAAGCAAATCCTGAAGATGTAAATTTTGAAAGTGACACATTTCACCATACGACATTTCTCATTCTGTTACTCACCTACAAGTTATAAGCAATTAAATATATCTCATTCAGTGAAGTAAAAACAAAAATTTTAATTTCCAATTATTTTTAAAGTATATTACTTTTTAAAATGCTATTTAATTGAAACAAAAAATTTATTTTGAACCTATTCAAGTGCAGAAAAAACACTATCAGTTTTCAGGCTGCACTCCTGTCTCTACTATCTATTTCATTTGCTTGTTATTCATGATAAACAATACAATAAAGCTACTTTGTATTATGTTGCTTCTATCCTATTATCTTTTTTTCACTGCTGGTTAAGCATCTGTCAACATGACTTATTCCATAAAAATTGTAAATGGAAGACAGTCATTTGTTTTTCGCTTTTTGAGAGCTGCAATATTCACCTTCATTTTCAGCAACACTGAGCCAATACTTGTCTCTTCATTTTATTTGCAAAAAGGAAAAACACCACCATGCTCACAAGGTAATTAGTTTTCCTGTTGTGTCCAAAGGGGACGGTCTCAGTAAGACTATATATCCCCATGGCATGTTGCTGTGTATAATTTATGCATCTCCTTAATAGGTTTATTTTAATATCTGAGGTTTTTCGTTGTTGTGTTAGTATTTTTCTTGTTTTTTATTTCCCCACTTTTACCTTTTTTGCTGAGAATGTGCTCCATTCTCTGTTTAAGCTGCATTCAATCTAGTAACACAAACAGCTCTGAAGCTAGAAGCCATTTGTATAGCAGAATTACAGCGTCAAGAACACCCTCAGAACCAGTAGATACCAGTAATCACTGCTTTGCAAACGGACACAGCACAAGTGCACTTCTGTAATGGGTGTTGCTAGGACAGTCAACTTTCTTCAAAGCAGCTGTGTGGCCCTCCACCAGACCCACTCCAACAGGTCCATGTCTTTCCCGTGCTGAGCGCTCCAGAGCTGGATGCAGGACTCCAGGTGGGGTCTCACCAGAGCAGAGTAGAGGGGCAGAATCCCCTCCCTCAACCTGCTGCTTTTGATGCAGCCCAGCATATGCATATCGGTGGCTCATGTCCAGCTTTTCATCCACCAGTACCCCCAGGTCCTTCTCGGCAGGGCTGCTCTCAATCCCTTCATCCCCCACCCTGTATTCATACCAGCGGTTGCCCTGACCCAGGTGCAGGACCTTGCACTTGGCCTTGTGGAACCTCATGAGGTTCACATAGTCCCAGCCCTTCAGCTTGCCCAGGTCCCTGTGGATGGCATCCTGTCCCTCAGGTGTGTTGACTGCACTGCTCAGCTTGGTGTCATCCGCAAACTTGCTGAGGGTGCACTCGATCCTACTGTCTATGTCATTGATGAAAATGTTAAACAGCACTGGTCCCAGTACGGACCCCTGAGGGACACCACTCATCACTGATCTCCACCTGGACATTAAGCCGTTGACCACCACCCTCTGTATGTGACCTTCCAACCAATTCCTTAGCCACCAAACAGTCCAATCATCAAAACCGTATCTCTCCAATGTGGAGAGAAGGATGTTGTGGGGGACCGTGTCAAAGGCCTTACAGAAGTCCAGACAGATCACATTCATAGCTCTTCCCTTGCCCATTGGTGTCATCACTCCATCACAGAAAGCCAGTAGGTTGGTGAGGCAGGACTTGCCCTTGGTGAAGCCATACTGGCTGTCTCGAGTCACCTCCCTGTCCTCCATGGGCCTTAGCATAGCTTCTAGGAGGATCTGTTCCATGGTCTCCCCAGGCACAGAGGTGAGGCTGGCAGGTCGGTAGTTCCCAGGGTCCTCCTTTCAACCCTTTTTAAAAATACATGTGATGTTTCCCTTCTTGCATTCACCAGGGACATCGACTGACTGCCATGACTTCCCAGATATCGGGGAGAGTGGCCTGGCCAACTACGTCAGCCAATTCCCTCGGGACTCTGGGATGCATCTCATCAGGTCCCACAGACTTCTCTATGTTCAGGCTCCTCAGGTGGTCACAAACCTGATCTTCTCTTATAGTGGGAGGAACTTTGCTCCCTCAGTCCCTGTCTTGCGGTCCATCCAGTCAAGAGGTGTGGGAAGAGAGGCTGCCAGTGAAGATGGAGGCAATAAAGTTGCCAAGTACCTCAGCCTTCTCCTTGTCCAGTGTTACCAGTTTGCCAGTCTTGCTCATGGTGGGGGGAAACACTTTCTTTGACCTTCCTTTTCTGGCTGACATACCTGTAGAAGCCCTTATTATTCTTTGTGTCCCTCGCCAAATTCAGCTCCAGCTGCACCTTGGCCTTCCTGACACCATCCCTACACATCCCCTTTTTGTTCTATTTTCTTCCCCTATCCCACTGTGGCCAGAAGAGGGAGGGAGGGAACGAGCAGGTGTGTGGGTACTTAGCTGTTAGCAGAAGTCAACACACCACACTTCCAGAAAAAAGTTTACTTAACAGATCATAGGAACAGCATTTACTATCATATTGAAAGGCCAGTTTCCTTAAAAGTGCACCTTATCAGCGAAATTACATACCTTCTCTAGATCTAAAAAAACTCCAGAAGTCTAAGCATAAATGCTTTCTCTCACAAAACGAAGCATAGAGCCATTCTGCTACAAGCAAGGAATTGGTAAAGTTCTCCTGTACTGTGCAATCTAGTACCTCAGTTTGCAGGTATTGTAGGAAGTGGGAGTGTTCAGAAACTTGCACGTTCCATTTTAGTAGCAATCTTCTACCGCTGCTACTCTAATTTAAAGACTACTCCATAATCTCACTGCTCCAAGTGTGGTAACTTTAATTTACAGTTAACATAGTCACTGATAGTTCATCACCACTTGTTTTTGTCCTTTAGCCTCCTGGTGTTCACAAGCAAACACACAGAAAGCAGAAAGCCTTTGCTTTGCTGGACTGAAGATATGCTCTTATTTCATATGACAAGCTTTACAATGTCTTATTCGTTCTCTGTTCCAGTGTAGTCTGAATTTAGATCTGTATACACAGTATTGCAAAAATAGCTCCAAACATTTCACCCCCATGGAAGCATATGCACTGCAGTGTATTTTGTAATAAACAATGCAAATCAAAAGGAACTCTAAGAACAAGGAAATGATGCAGCAGTACAGCCTACAGGGGCATTCTGCAGTTTCCTTTTTAACCTTAACCGCATTGCTGTCAGCACCCACAGACCACACCACTTTTTCAGTTGTTCAAGCAAAAACAGCATTCAAGAGTGTTTTGGGTGGTTCCGTTCCGCTGGTACTGGTTCACTGCTACCACTGCAATACACTATAAAAACTGTGGATCCAGGCATATCATAAAATATTTTTTTAAATTTTTAAAAAAGTAAGAATGGTCGCCTTTTGTCAACAGGGACTGACCTTATCTCCTTGTACCTCAGAAGTATGGTTTACAAAACAGGTGAATTCTGACTACCTACATAAAATACTCGGAACATTCCAACATGATTGGTTCCCAGTTTAGATTTTAGCACCAACAGAACTTCACTACATAGTAAATGTTTTAAAGCCATTGGATTAGCATAACTGTACTGGCTGTTCACAAAGAACCCTTAGCAATGACTGTCCTGTAAGTCCAGAAGGTTAGAGATCATGGCTCCAAATCATAATCACTGCCTCCTCCCCCCACCCCTCCAAATCAATTATCAGGAACCAGCTCTAGTAAGCGGTAGTCTTATCTAATCATACTCATAAATAAATCTCTACAGCAAAAGTAAAATGAGTACCTACTCCAGCAAACTCCCCATCGTGCATTTGAGAGTGAACATAACGAAGATGGTGGAAGAATGCTTCTTACAGGGTAATCAATACAAGTGTTGTTGGTGTAACACCAAAGGCACTGTGCAAAAGAAACAAATAAAAAACCCCAAATTATTGATCTTCAAAAACAGTTTACAATTTAGTGCTCGTCTCCACAGACAGAATTCTTAAGTGTGTACAGATATACCCGAAGTGCTTTGTAGTATAAAATCTACGGAACTCCTGGTACAATTCCTTAGTAGGCCTAAACTGAAATGTGAATAAGTAAATTTTGTACTTATAGGTAATAAATATTTACACTAGCCTGAAAATATTTAGGAACATATTGACATACTCTATGTACTTGAGGATAAAATGGCTTTGGGTTTAGAATTACTGAAATTAACAAGAAACACAAAATCAGAAAGCCAGCTGTTCAGAATGTTAAAACACTTCCTATTTTTGAGGAATACAAACACACTTAAAATCTTACTTCAGCCCTATATTTGACTATCAACAAAAAGAAAAAGTAAAGAACCCTTACAATTCTACAAGAGCTTTTGCTGCAAGGTAGTAAAAGACATAGCCTTATCCAATCTGTGTTGCAAAGTACATTGGGTACCTTAATTGTGCACACTTGCGTATCTGGAAATTTTTTAAATTTCTTACATGTATTACAGTTACAACACCAGCACAACATTTTTGCTTTTTAGGTCATCACTAAGCATCAAGCTTAAGTTCTGTTTTTCATCTGTGAAAATAGATACTCATTCAAAATTCCTTTACCACACAACTCAACCAATGAAGAAGTTTTGGATGACAGTAAAAGGAATCCTTGACAGAACAGGGTTTTTCAGGATTCATTCTAGAAAGAGCTCATCCAGGAACTATGCTTTATCTAACAGTACTATCAAGAATATCTCTGTCATACATCCTCAGTTGCACAAAGTCTGTATCTTGCTCTAAAGGGTTAGAAAACGTTAAGTACAAAGGAAACCATTTGTAGTAGATCTTGCTCTCTTGAAAAAAGTGAAGAAAGAGACAAGAAAAATTTATTCATATTTTGTAGATGGTAGACTGTACAAGTCAAGCATACCCATCAAGACACATCAACAAAAATGATTCAGGAGGCAGAATAGCCTTTGCAAAAAAAAATGCTCTCCTAAGCTTAAATTTTAATCAAGGATGTTAGATAAGAACATGCTTTTTTTGTTGGATCAATTATTTAGTAAGAATTAAGAGTTCAAAGATAATTACTAATAGGGGCAGACTAAAAGTCATTGCTAAATTCATTCGAATGTAATGTTGACCCTGTTTTGAGTAGGAGGCTGGACTAGATGACTTATGAGGTCTCTTCTAGCCTGAACGACTATACTGTTGGTGACAACTGGGAGCACAGAAAGGTCAGCTGTATCACTCTGATGGAGACTACCGCATGTAACTATTAAAAAAAATGTACAGCCCAAAAGGCAATACCTGATACAGCTACTGATTAGTGTAGAGGCTGAAGTAAGAGAAAATACTTCAACCGATTCCTTCCCAAAGCTAAAAATTGAGCTAATCGTCATAATCATTAGAAAAAAGCAAAAAAGTCTAAACACTCAAGGGTGAAACGTTTCCTTAACTTTCATTCTCATCTACATAACCTCAAAATGAAGACAAGAAAGATTTTATTTTATTTAGAGGTAAATCATAGATCCTTTGCAGAGTATGCTGGGAACCACATTCACACTCTGATGGACATCACTGACTTTATTTCAGTAGAGTCTCACGTGGATAATGAAGTGCAACATCATTAATTCAGTCCACACTCTTTTTAAGGACATATTCTCAGTATTAAAAGATACAACATAGTAACTACGAACACAAAATGAATGCTTCCTTCTCTACAATCAGACAGATGTATGCAATTGACTATGATCCCCACCTTTCCTTAAAAAAAATTGGCTGTATATATTGATCATGTAATTTCCTATAGCTGTTAGCTTCTTTTTCTTTAATGCCCAGCTTGCCTAAAATCCATTTTCCACAAGAATTTAGATTCCATACGTTTTTTATTAGGACAAAGATGAGAATGACAAAAATAAACAGCCGAGGGGAAAAGCATCTTGGTAGACTACTTGAAAGATAAAAATGAGGCTTTGCAAAGTTCTCCAGAATGCTGAGGCTCTACACCTGCACACAGATCTTAAAACGTAGTCCTATCTTTAACTAGTGCTTGCATGATGTATTTTGTCTTCTACACTGTCATATGGAGTTAGAAATATGAAGAGAAAACTCTTTCAAGATGTTAATCAATAGATATTTACACATTATCTGGTAATATATAAAGTTCTCAAATTTTAATACACCTGGTAATCTGCTAGTCATAATAGTAAATATTTCTTTGAATAAACTAAGTTCTGGGATTCAACAGTTCTAATCAAAACCCTCACGTGTTAGTACCATATTGTAAGGAAGAAGATGAAATACAACAACATATGTATAAAATAACCACTCAGAACTTATTGATAAAAACATGACAAAATAGGTATTCACCAACTCTAAAGACCAACTCGGTTATAACTATGATAAACAAAACCTAAGCATTTTTAATTATAATTTTATTTAACTGAACTAAATTACTACATTTTAGGGTTTGTTTGGAACTGTTTTTATCTGTTCACGAAATGTTTAATTCTCATTTTTATCTGCTGCTATCTGTATTATCACCAATATGAAAACCTGATTTTTTTTTTCTACTAAAGCAATTAAACATAGTAATTTCAGCAATCCTTTGTTTTTGTATGGCTCACACAAATGCTAATGGCTTTGTTCTGTAGCCTTTAATTTTTGTTTTATTAATGTATATGCGATGGTCTAAATCAAGTCTAAACTCCTTTCTTCAAGGTTAACATTGATGCTATTCAAGCAGTTGCCCTGAATCATCCATCATTCTGTCACCAAAACAAGCCTGGACACTGTCATTGGTTTGACAGATTCTGAAAACAATGTATCTATAACTCTGTTAGTGTCTTCAGTACACACACACAGCTAAGGGATTTATTTTACTCACAAGGTGAACACATAGCTCCCAGGTTAATAAAAGCTGTGGTCGTGTATCTGCGGCAGCAGTGGCAGCACATTTTTGAAGTGACAGTCACAGCAGTGGTAGTGCTGAACATTTAATCTTTAATGACCCATATTTTCCATTTACTACTTTATGCTTTTGAAGATGAAGTGTTCTGTACACAATGCCATATACAGGTCTGACAACACACAATAACCACATCAATACAAGGTAATTAATATTTTTCCATTTAAAAGCCAAAAGATGCACGACAAGCATAAAACAGGTAAGTTCAGAAATTTCTCAGTTTTCCCTAGTGAAAAAGTTTTGCAGTAACTTATGTAACTTAGACTCCTGAAATATTTCTTTTCAGTGGCATCTGAAGTTAGAATTCAAGACAATCTCTCACTTTAAACAGGAGTTCCTTCTGCTCTGCAGGGACAGACACCTTTTGCATCCTTATCACGACTGTTATTATGGAGCTCAAAAGGTTTTGCCCAAAGAACAGAGAAACAAAATTTATTGTTTTAAATGTCTGTCTTACCGCAATCTCATTGGAAATCTAAACACTCTGCTACCAGAACAGTGACCCAGCCTGGCAGTCTGATGTCATTAGTGAAGAGGCTGACTTGTCTGAACATCTACAAAGCCGATCCAGTCTGCCTCACTTAAATGCATTTCTTGGGGCATCTCCAGAGAAAGGCATTTCTGGTTTATTTACATGAATTTCCCAGTTCTCCTATCCAGCATACAAGAAATGTAAGGCATTTTAGCCACAGAAGATTCAGTTAATCTAGACCTTTTATATGGGAAATTTAACTAAGTGCTGCTTGCAAAATGAGGATGAGCCTAAACAAGCAGCAACACCAACTTGCTCAGTTGTGGTACGAAAGCATTGAGCACAGGCTGAAACTGGAAGTCTGGATGCTACACGATCTGTCCTCTCCAGGCATTCAGAGAAATACTGAGTGACCAAATGATGGAGCAACCATGGCAAAGTGAAAGCACAGTGGCGTGGAGGGTGACAGAGGGGAAGCACCACATCAGTTGACTCATGTAAATAAAACTAGAACTGACTGATCTTGACTTCCTCTTATTATGGGTAATTTGACTAGAATCACCATTAAAAACAAAACAAACACCCCACCAAACAGCCAAACAAATCCTAACAATTTGATTTCATATTAAGTGGAAAAATCACCAAATTCTTACCAATCAAAAAGGATATTAAAAATCTTACCGAAACATTTTTTAGACATTCTTCACAGGACCTCTGGGAAAACTCTGAACATGCTAGAAAAAAAAAGAAAAATATACACAGGTGATACATTTATTTTTACTCACTAATGTCAAGCATTTAACATAATATTAACCTTTTTCTTTATTCTACTTCTAGATACAAGCAACAGTTTTGACTGAAGTAATGAAAGGTAAATAATTCCATTCCAGGAGACCTGCAGCAAACAGATACAAAACATTCAAGTTTGACCTCTGACATAGTTAGGGAAACAATTCAAGCTTACCTTTAACTTCAGTTTGCTTTCTGGAAGGACAATGCGGGAGATAGAACCCAGGAGCCTCCCTGCATCTCTGCTGCAGTTGTAAGATTTTTATACCTCAATTTAGAGAGCATTCCAAGTTTTAAAGCTTTGGAAGCCTAGCAAAAGCTGACCCTTGCCTAAGTTTGGTCCCCCTTCCATAGATCTTAACCTTTTTCTGGGGGAAAAAAGTTTTTAAAAGATAAAGCTCTTCAAATAACATTATTTTAAATAACAATAAAAAAATATTTTCAAACATAGGACACAAAGTTGTTTTGTAAGAGGTCAGCAAGAACTCTTAACAGAAGTTTAAAAAGCCAAGTCATGTGGAAGGACTTTATTCACATTTTCTTTGGATTTTAAAAACCCTCTTCTATCCTAAAAAAAGAAAATGTACTTGTGTTCACATGGAGAGAATTCCAGTCAAAGGCTACGACTTTCATTCAGAAGTACTGAACACTTGTCATCTTATGACCAATCTTTTTTTATCCACAATGCAGACATAATTTGTTGCCCGCAGGACCATGTACATGCCATAGTCTTGACCCAGATGAACTACTCGACAGATGAGGGGCAGTCTCCTCTCCTGGTCTGAACTAGGAGTTTCTTCCAATAGTTCCTATGATAATTTTTAATACTTTTTAATGAAACTAACTTTTGGTTATTTCCACATATATCATAAACATGAGGGGAAAACATCTCCAAATCAGGAATCCAGTTCTACTTTTAATGAATAACTGCATTAGTCACAAGCAGTTATCAACTTGAGATAAATTATTGGCATGTTTTGAGACAACTGCATATTTCAATACTTTCATTTCATAATTCAGTATTTCACCTTTCTGGTACTAATTCTTAACATTAAATGTATTTTATGTACCTGTATATTTGGCTTTATTTAATATATCCATAGAAAAAAAAACACTTACTAGCTTTTCCAGTACCAATTAACATTGTTACAGGTACCAGTTAACCGAGAAGCACCCTAAATGTAAGCCCCATATAACAATTCATGGGAAAAAAACATGAAAAGCAGATTCGGAAATAGTTCTCAGTATAAACTCAATGATTTTCAAATGGGATTATTCCACTTGGAGTACCACCATGCTTATTATAAAAACACTTCATTAATTTCCAATTTAAGATATTTACAACACCTAAACAAACCAGCTTTCTGAACATGAATTAGCGAGTACTGTCAGCAACATGCAAGTACACCAAGGACTTCTAAAAATGTGGTTTAGGTTACTTTTGCAGTAACTGCAGCAAAGTGAAGAAATGTAACTTTCCTTAAACTCTTATCAAAGGAGGTAATCTCACAAGCTTTTCATGCTGTTTATCTTCTTTGACTGCCTCCCTACCGACATATTCTAGCAGATAACCTATAATGGCATATAACCAAAAGAAAGGGGGTTAAATGATAAAAAAATTACACTTCTATTATTTATGTTTATTCTAAAGAACAGCATAAGAGAGTCTTAATGAAAATACTTCAAAATATATCATCATATCTCAAAAATCAAAACATCTTTATGTACCACTGCTACAAAATTTAACATTACTATGAGTGATTTTTTTTTTCCATTCTGCTTTATATATTTCTCTGGGTTACATAACTTACAAAAACATATAAAATTCCCACCAGTTACAGTGCTCTCCACAAGAGCAGAAGATACAACAAAACACCTCTCAAACTGGAAAAGAAGATGAAAAACCCAACAAACATCCCTTCCAATCCACCTTGCTAAAGCACTATGTGTACCAGCACAATAAACAAAAACAACTTTGAATTATTTTTTTTTTTTATTCAAACAGATATCAAGTTGGCAGTCCCCCTCTAGTATTTCAAGGGACGACTGCATTATCTTTATAGGGGAAAAAAATAAATGTAAGCCACAGCACCACCACCACTAATAACTCGGTTTGTATTTTAAACAGCATTTATCAAATGTAACAATTCCTTCCCTACTAGCATATAACATCAGCATTCATCACCTAACATGAATAAAATGAGAAATTATTTTTACATACCAAGCCTGGTTTACCAAACAGTGGAAGCATTACCTTGATAAGTGGTGCTATTTTTACCAAAACAGTTTTGTGTAACACTTTGTACAGAATGAACTGTAGCTGTATGAAGATTATACTCTCAGAAGGGAAGAAAAAGCTATTACTGTCCATGCACCTTTTTTTTTAAAACAATCACAATGCTGCCTACACATACAAGAATTGTACTAAGTTAACTATACATCAATTCTCTATATGATCTCACTTTGTAGGAGACATACTCATGGACCAGAGTAACAATGCACAAATACAGAACAAAGGCTGCTCCTCCACAAAACGCGGGTAAAAACAATGACCCACAAAACAAAACAGTGCAACTGCTCAGACAGTCAGAAACCTTTCAACACCTACACTAATTCATAGCTAGTTTATTTTAATTTGTTCTCTGCCCCCATTCTCACGAGAACACTGTTCTTCAACAGTTGTTCCCTCCTACTGGTATAAAAGTATCTTCTCCAAGTACTCTTACTCCCCCTTAACCTTCCCCCTGCTCCCGCAATTAAAACTATACTCTTCTTGGTATTTTCTGAAATTGGGAACAATACAGCCCTGTAGCCCTGCTTTGTGCTAGTCCAGCCCTGTTGAATGCAGGTGCTGAACTTGTGGAACACTGAGCAGAATGGCGTATCAGGTCCCACAATCTTGCAAAACTACCATAAAACTGCCATCTCTCTCTTCACAAGAACATCACTTCAGTAAGTGATATGCATCTGACAGTCTTAGTTTTAAGATTAAAATAATACTAGCCACAGGGCACAACAATCCATCTTTTATTTTTCAGATTAACCTTATTTCTAATATTTATTCCTTAAAGGCCATCCACACCTTTCTGTATAATGCCATGATCCTCCTCCGTATCAACAACCAACTTTGTGTCACGAGCAAATTCTTAAACTCACATAAGAATAACAATATGTGAAAACTTCTTTCCTGTGGAATCCAGAAGCCGCTCCACTACTAATTCAACATGTTTTTTGGCTCCAACCAAACTCTTTGGTTTTGTTTATGTTTCTCAGAATTACCAGAAAAAAAACTGAGTAACTTGCAGTTATTAGCAGGTCTAACTGTTGTTCTTTCTTCTCTAATAACTGAAGAACACCGATAGTTCCATTTCTCTTTTGCTTCAAGTTAGTTGTCTCACAAAGTTGGATACTTCCTTTTCAAGTATAAACCCTTCTGTAAAAGAAATGAAACACCTCAAATCGGACCCTAAACACACACAGAATCATAGGATCACAGAATCATAGGTTGGAAAAGACCTCTAAGATCATCAAGTCCAATCATCCACCCAACATCACCATGCCTACTAAGCCATATCCCGAAGTGCCACATCTACACGTTTTTTAAAGGCCTCCAGGGATGGTGACTCCACCACCTCCCTGGGCAGCCTGTTCCAATGCCTGACCACTCTTTCAGGAAAGAAATTTTTCCTAATATCCAATCTAAACCCGCTCTGACGCAACTTGAGGCCATTGCCTCTCATCCTATCACTAGTTACTTGAGGGAAGAGACCAACACCTGCCTCCACCTTTCAGGTAGTGTTAAAGAGCAATAAGGTCCCCCCTCACCCTCCTCTTCTCCAGACTAAACAGCCCCAGCTCCCTCAGCCCCTCCTAGTGAGACTTGTTCTCTAGAGCCCTCACCAGCCTCGCTGCCCACACGCCAAGGTCCGCTTGAGATTCCCTAATTTAATGCACACTAGGCTGACATCCACCTTTCTGGTCACCTCTGTTAATGGCAACCAAATCTGAGGACGAGCCTCACCGACCGCTTTCCAAAAGCGGCTACGAGATGAACGATTCCAAGAGAACGGGACGGCAAGAGCACCTCCGTCAGCCGCTCCTTCCAAGCCACGTCCCTGGGCAGAGAAAGCCCAGGCCGTTCTTT